CCAACTATAAACCTTGACCAAAGGCATTATTTAGTAAAAGAACCTCACAACTAAACCTTCAGAAGAACACAGAACTCTGAAAGTATCTCATATCGGTTGCCTAAAACCAGTATTTTCAAAAGGTTAACTAGAAGCTGGCACTGTGAACAAACGTGTATTTACTGCTAACACAAACTGCTGTGCTACACACAGAAGGACCATCAAAGCACCTTGATGCTTGTCAGCAGCTCATTACTGGATTCAGGTAACATCTGTTGCATGTGGGCCATTCCTTTATCTATTCCGCAGGACACCATCTGTGTGCAGTACAGCACTTAGGTTTGAAATACATTACACACCCTGGTTTAGAAAAATAAGATCAAAGCTGCTCCAGGTTTATGTTAGAGACAGATGAAGTAGCACCCTGTGTGGTTAAGGGCAGTGCTATCATCTGGCTCTGTTCTTTGCTCCTGTGGAAATGTGTTTCAGGCAGAGCAGCTGTGGAAAAGAGCTCCATCTCTTGCACAGACCAGCCCTGCCTTACAGGACAAGACACTGTAACTCAGTGAAACACTTCAAATACAACTTACTACTGGTGGTTTCTTAACAAACCAAGATGCACAAGAGCAATGAAAACCCCAGAGCTGGTGCTTGCAACCAGTGCTTTCCAAGGTCTCTATACAGATCTCAGATGCTGCAGAGAGAATCAACAGGAAGACAGAATATTTGCTTTAATTTAATGCCTTTTAATGAAAGTAAGAGTGGAATGTTCCTACTGGCTTTCAGTTTATACAAAAGCTTTCTTAACTGAAAGCAATCAGATCTCATAAACTACAAATAGGAAGCCTAAATCATAATCCACATAATAAAGGGCTTTTTTTCTTTAAAACATATCATAATCACTTAAGTCACCACAAGTTTATACAAGATTAATACCTTTTATAGCATCTGACAGTTTAAAAACAGTCTAGATTTAAATGGTTTAGGCAGTAAGGCTCCTCTGACTATGCTCTGAACTACTTCACCCCTGCATCAGCCTTCCCATGATTTCAGCTTGTAACACATTTAAAAATGCTATAAAAATACAGCACATGAAATTGTAAGTGAACATTTCCACAGGAAAAAAAAAAAAGAAGAGATAATTTTCTTTTACAAAGACCTGATTGTCCCTGAAATCACAGAGAACTGCCCTTAAACACAGCCTGGCCTCTTTGTGCTACTGCAGCCTAATGCTACCCTGATCCCTGGGAAGTTTTAAATTCTAACAACTAGTACCACATAGGAAATGAGCCGAGAGATCACACAGGTGTGACACGAGGAATGTGATGTGGCCTCACATGGACCACCAACGGGCTCCTTCTGCACCAGCTGAACCCTTCCCGCAGCCTTCAAGAGTGGCTCATGGAAGAGGCCACTGCAGCAGTTGTCATCTCCAACGTGGTATATCTGAGAAATCTCTCCAGGGAGCCAGCCACTGGTTAACTCATAGTGCTGCTCTTGCCAGTCATTTTGTCCTCACAAAGGCAGATTTGGGTTAAAGCAGCGTTTCTAACAATAAACAAGAGCAGACAAGAGCAGACTGGTTTGCACTGATTTTTCTTGTTTTCAATACAGATTAGCATTCTCTCAGTTTGTTGTTTCATCTGTCTTAAAATGAATTCAAGCCCTTAGCAAATGAATGAGAAGCCTGCCTACATCCATAATTTTTGGTGAAAGATGGTAACATTTCCCTCCTTTGTAGAGGAAGGAAGAAACCTTGAAAAGCTTGATCTTCTCCCAAGCAGAAAGAAAAACCCAAACAAGATAAAACTAAACAACCCACAACAAAGAGGAGCTCCCCTTCCTCATTCTAACATACCTATGATACAATTAGTAGTGGCTTCCTCAGTGCTGAATCAAGAGGTCCTGCATTTAGAAAAGCCGATGTAGCACGCAGACTCAAAACTGCATCATCACCACTAAAATAATATGCATATATTCAATATATTTCATGGACTATGAACTTGATGCTCAACTGAGCAGTGTAAAACGTAACAAGTAGAAAACTTAATGACCACACAACTACCCAGGAACGACACAGATGTAAGGAGTTACAAGAGCATGTAAATATCACCACTGGTTGGCAGCACATCCAGTAGTAGCAATGGTGTCACCATAACCTGGCATTTGGGTATTCAGCTAAGAACAGTCACCTCTCCACCGTGACAATCACTGGCAGCCCAGGCAGGGCAGAAGAAATGATGTTATTAAAAGCAAACACATACAATTAAGGACCCTGAGTTGAAATTAATGAATGAGAGAGAAAACTCCTCACAAGGAAGTCGCGATTAGTGCCTCATCCTCAATTCACTGCTTGATAATGCAGTATTCCCTTAAAAGTGCACCGGTTCCACAAAAATATGCAATAAACCGATTGAAATTGTGTAAATAGCCCCTACAGCACCAGCTGTACTATGACTACCACAGTCAACACTATTTGGTGTGTACTATCCAGTACTTCAGCATCTCAAAACTCAGCCCAGCTTTCTTCCTACCAAGAGAGGATCCCTCCCATTCACCTATCTGCAATTATCCCATAAAACATATAGGGAAATAATTCTGTTTCAAAGCTGAAGTTCTTAACTCCTAACAGATGTTGGCAAGCCCAATTCCACCATATACATAACAAAGCAATCAACAGAGCCCTGGGCCTTTTAACACCAGTACACAAAGAAACATTTTCTTGTGTTACTGGTAGCATAATCAGTACCATGCTTTTTAGGCTTATGGAAAAATGATCTATGACTCAAGATAAGGGGGGGAATAAGTTAAGTATGCAAATATGCCTAAAATATATTGGGAAAATCTGCATCATTTTAATGTCAAAAGACAAAGTTTGATGTTTTCCTTTACTAAATAAATTCTGTTTACAGCAGCTTTAATAGAAATGTAAAGAGGAAGAGCTTATTTTTATTCAACCAGGCCAGTCCTCCTGCGAGCTGTCAAGAGCCAAACATCACCGAGGGGGACACGAGGCTACGAGGCAGGTGAACAAAACTCAGTCTATAAAGCCAGCTTAATGGTTCTGACAGACGTGACACGAGCTCACAGAGCTGTGCCTTGTGTGGCACAACGGCTGTACTCACAGTGCAGCAAAAGGAGGCAACCCAGAAGCTGATCATTCAGCCCAAACCAAGCTCACAACTCATGTCAGGAGAGCATCCTGGGAGCAGAAATGCAGAGCCCAAGCACTGAGCTTAGCCTCCCTGAGGAAGTCATGTCACCTAATCCCAGTAAGCAGTTTCTGCATGTGGATCAGAGAAACACAAAGTCTAAGGCCAACAAATCCCTCATCCTTCCATTCAGAAAATCCTTCTGCCAACTACGAGCACCGGCTGTTGTAAAGAGCAGCAAATGCCTGTCACTGTAACAGCACTGGTTAGAAAACACTCTTCACCCCACACGCCTGTGCTGCCGGTGATGTGGGTGAAATAGCACACCAACATCCACGGTTACACTATAGGGAACCAGGCAGAATGGCCTGAGCAGTGCCACAGAGCCCTCCTTAAACTCGCTCTTGAGGCTTTATCGCCTTCATAGTGAGAAAGATGGTGTAAAAGCAAGTAAGCAAATTTCCCAGGCATGTCTATGAAAAGCAAACACTTCTGGAAGCGCAAGGGAGCAGAGGCACCTCACCCCGGCACAGTCCCGCTGACACACTGCACCGCGAGCAGGCTGGCGCAGGGGAGCCGCTCGCCGCCGAACCCAGGTCCCCTCCCGAAGGAGCGGTGAGAGCCCCGGGTGTGCTGGAAGGGATGGACCGACCGGCCCCACCCAGCCACCGGCCCCGCACAATGGGCGCAGCGGCGGGGGCGGCTCCCTGGGTCCCCCGGCTCGGCCCGGAGCCCTGCGGCGGGGGCTCGGCGGGAGGCAGCGCTCTCACCGCCGCCTGCGCCCCGGGCCCGGGGCAGCCACCCCCGCTGCTCGCCCCAGCCCCGCGCCTCCGGCCCGCAGCAGCCCCGCGCCTCCAGCGGCGGCCCTCCCGTTCTCTCTCCTCCTCACGGCCGCCCGCGCTACCTGCTCATCGAAGCGGTTCACCACGGCCTGCACCCACTCCACCGGCTTGTGGGCCGCCATGTCCCCCCGCCTGCCCGGCCAGGGAGGGGGGCGGATCCCCGCGGGGAGGGCGGCAGGAGAGGCGCCGGGCGCGGGGAGGGCGCGGGCGGGTCTCCGTTATCCCTGGCGCGCTGCGGGGCCCTCAGCTCCCCTCAGCCATCAGCGCCCGGGGCCCGCCATGACACCACACCGGAAGCGGGAGCCCAAGGCCGCCCCCGCCCGCCCGAGCAGCAGCGCCGCGGCCGCCGCGCCAGGGGGAGCGCCGAGACCCAGCCGGCGGCGGGGAACACACTGCGCCTGCGCGGCCTCGGAGCTGCGCCGTGCTGCGCCTGCGCGCCCCCGCCCCCGCGCAGGCCCGCCCCGCCCCGCGCCTGCGCCGCTCGGGGGGCAGCGGCGCGCGCGCAGCCCGCGGTGTGGGCGGGGCTTGGGGAGGGAGGGGCCGAGGGCAGGAGGGGCGGGGCCGAGGCACTGACGGGCGGGAGGCGCGGGTGCGCGTTCCCGGTTAGGGTCGCTATAAAGGGTTTTATCCCTCTAAACTGGTCTGGTTCTGCAGAGCACCGGGTAACGCCCGCTGCGGCAGAGCCAGGTGAAGGTCCTGGCCGTGTCAATGAAGATGGAACTTGAGGTAAAACCTCCCAAACGGTCAAACACACGGGGAAGAGCTGGAGAGTAAAAGGGACTCACTCGCTGTAGCTCCACCAGCGGGGCCTCGGTTCCGCTCAGAGACTCTTGCCACTGTCATAGCACATATGAATTATTACCAGCAACAGCAACACAAATAAATCCTCGTTTTGTGAAACGTTCCCTGTAAACAAGAAACGATGGCATTCCTGCAATCCAGATTTACAATATGAACCCTACCACTGCATTCTAGCAATAAGCTCAGGAGTGTGGCTCATAGCACGTATTTGAAGAGGCAGTTGTCCTATAGAAAGATGAAAATCAATTGCAAACACTTTATTTAAGGAAAAAAAAACAATTGTTTGAAGAATAAATTGTAGTTTCTGTCTGTACTCATGGCCCTGTCCTTCAGGAAATGCAGAGGGCATTCTGATTTATACAAATTGCAGAGACCAATACTGGGCTCTTAAGTGCCCTGGATTTGGTATGATCCATTTGCTGTAACTAGCTGTGGTGTGAAGGCCATTGATCCCTCTGCAGCAGAGTGCTCTACAATGGTCAGCATTAATATGTGTCATAAAGGATTTTAAAACAAACATTGTCTTATGGTCTAGAAAAGTCCTCTAATGTATTGGCTATGTATGCTCATATCAGAGTCAAACCTACATGATACATGTATATATGTGCTTAATTACAGACATCTCCTCTGGGTCAGACTGTAAGTAAAGCTGCTCCCTGAGGCCTTTCCCAATCATGTTTGTGTGAGCACAAGGAAAGGCTCCACCAAAATCCAAGCAAACAGGCACATTGCATCCCCACACCATTCCGTAAACATTGTTATTCTCCCCTTGCAAAGGTAAATGGTTACTTGGACTCCAGAAAACAGGATGAGGTCAGGGATCTGTTCTCCAGGACTTCCAGCCCTGCTGGTTGTGCTCCCCCAGGAGGTGTGCAGGCATCTGGGGACGGGGACGGCTCTGAGTTCCCCTGGTTCACATCCAGAATCTGTTGGGGCTGACAGAAAAGGCTTTGTCACAAACAGTGCAAGAGGGAATGAACACAGAACACCAGTGGTGTGCTCCTCCATCAACATGCCCAGTCTCATTTTTCAGATCTTTATATACTTGATCCTTAAGTATCCCGTAGCAATCCAGCAGGAATAATATCCACTTAAGGCAGTACAGCCACAATCTTCATGGGGATCTCTACGTTCTGCCAAAATCTAAACAATAATAATCCATGCAGGGGCAGGAAAGGGCCTCAGCTTACTGATAGGCTTTTGAAAACATGTCCTGAAACCAAGAAAGAAACCAGGGCTGGTCAGAGAAAAGCATCTGGGAACTCCTGACTTAGGTAGAAAAAGGCTATTTTTTCCATTCAAAACCTACTAAACACAACAAACAGTGCTTCTTCCTGTTTCTCTTAGTGTTTTTCCCAAAGCAAATCTGTTCCTTAAAAGCAAACACAGCTTGCTGTAGTATTCCCAGATTTTAGACAGTGGGCAGCTTCAGAGGCTGAATGGTGATGCTAGAAATCCTCACAGTGTTTCCTCAAAACTCTCTGGAAAATTCCAGCCAGTATTTGATCAAGACGATTCTTTCCCAAAGCTCTCTGCTTCCTTTTAATTGCTTCCTCTTCTCCCTAGGCTAGATATAAAGTGCCTGAGACCCACTATCCCAGAAGGGATCTGCTGGCCTAGGAAAAACCAGTGTCTCTGTTAACTGCTGTGCTAGATCCCATCTGTTGGCCACATGAACACACAGACTTTTCTGTTCCCAGCAGGCAGACACATACCAGTCTGTAACTGCTGGTTAGGTATTATCTGAAGGTAAATCACACCAAGTTCCCCAGCCCCAGATAATTCCCGAGTTGTGGAACCATTTATTTGGCAGCTCTTGGCAATCTCGTGCCTCTTGGTTATGCTGGTGGATTATTTTAAGACACTTTGGCAAGAGCTTCTTAATGCACTTCCTTAAGCTTATGTGCAAACCAAAACGAGAAATTACAGCCTAAGGCATCCACAGGGTCTTGTCAGGCTTTGTGGGAATGACAGTGGGTTTTCCTCACTAAAAATGTCCCATTGTGGCTGTCAAGAGTGGCACTGGTGTTAGGAGTCACATATAAGAGGAAAGTCCCTGACAATATGGATTTTTCCCCTCCCACTTCTGTACCTTTTGCTTTTCTCTGCCGTGTATTTTCAACTCAGATTATTTATTTATTAGCCTATCTTTTTTCCCTCCTGCTCCCAGCAGTCTGTGTTTCATACTGCCATTTCTCCTCTGCATTCCTCCCATCCCATTTCTCGTTCTCACCACATTTGTCAAACACTCCAGAAGTGGCTCTAATAGACCAAGTGACACTCTTTGATTTCTATGTATCAGCTTTGCTCCAGAAACCCCCAGCCACTTACAGAGGCAATTCCTGATGGACAGGGTTCCATCCTGGAGGGACTGCGCCAAATCTGGGATCAGGGACAAAAAACATTTTCCCACCTTTCTTAAGTGAAGCCAAACAAACAAACCCGGGCAGATGCGGAAGGAAGGGAGGGAGGGAAAGAGCTGCCAAGTTTTGGGTAAAGGTGACTTAATATTTCTCAGCTCCAAACCCTTAAACATGGGTTTAATCTGGGAGTTGGCAGGCTCCCAGGGAAAGCTGGGCAGGCTCCTGGCAGCGCTGCGGATCCTGGATGGTTTCACCCCGAGAGGACAGTGCTCCAACAGATTTGTCCATTAGAGGGCATTAGAGGCCACTCAAATCCCTGAATTCCGAACTAACCAGAGAGGAGAGTGGCCCATATTCCGTTTTGTTTGACAAGTGAGCGGTGGCTTTGTATTCTTCCCATGACTTGTCTCTTATTGACTTACCTGACATGTGCGGGATGGGTTTCAATATGTGAAGAAGCTTCCCCTCAAAAATTAAGCAGTGGATTTTCCTTTGTATTCTGTCTGACTGCAACAGGACCTGTTAAATACAACTGATCTGAGGTTAACAGTGATCACAGAATGATGGGTTATACTTCAGAGAAAGCAGAGATTCCACACACAATATTCACACCGGATCCTTCATCCCAGAAAGTCTAATCAACAAAGTTGTAGCACACTGTTTCACGCAATCAGTTTCTAAATGCAAGTATTTCTATTCCAGTAGAAATCTCACTTGGATGTAAACCAGCAGGAGTTTAATTCCTGATACCTGATCTGAGGCAGTATAAAGATGTCACAAGAGCTCAGATACTCTAAAGGAACTTAATGGAACAGGAGACTTGTGCCATGCACTGGAAATGGATAAAGACACAGTCAGTGTTTGCCGTTTGGCCCCAGAGGTATAAACAAGCTCCTTGTTGAGTCCTTGTTGGAGTTTGTTTGCTCACAATCACTCCCACTCGCTGGGTTTATGTTCTAAAAATTGCAGAGGAATGAGATCATTTTGAGCATCTACTTTTTTCTTCCCCTTGCAAGCAGTGCCTTTCCCACAGCATCTCCAGAGGTTCTTACTCATAATACTATAAAGCAGCATTTTAATTGTTCTGGATGACTAATCAGCTCAGCCTGGATTGTCACACTGTCCCAAAGGATAATTCAAGGTTATCACTGCCTCTCCCTGCCATTCTGTTTCCTTACTCATTTATTGTATAACAGGGGTCAAAAAGAGAAGAGGATTCACAGGAGAGGAAGACCAGAGAGACCTTGTGACTTCAGCACTGACTGGCACTTTCTGGCTTCTCTCCTGTGTGATCTCATAGAAAGGGCAGGAGTTTGAGTCACCAGAAGAAAGCTGGAGGCCTGGACTGTCACTGGGACGAGACCAGGATTGTTGCCATGTCTATGGCTGTGCCTGACAAGCACCATCACATGGCGATGCAGCATTACTCCCTGAAGCAGCATTACACCTGCATCAGTCCCACCTCACTAACAGCAGGACAAACCACCCATCCCAAGTCCTGTCCTCTCACAGGGGCTGCTCTTCTGCACATGTGTGAGGGTGCCGAAGGGGCTGCTTTTCTTTACCATTCTCACATGATATTTGCATTGGAAGAGGCAGGGCAGGCTCCAGCAGTGTGCCCTAACACTGATTCTGGCCTGAAGTGAAGCACCAGCTCGGGAGAGCTGCTGAGAGTGTCCAGAACCCACAAAACTCAGCGCCCATGTGAAGCTCCTGCCGTCAGCCTCAGGAGGGATAACAGGGTAGTCCCTAGGTTGAAGTGCTGGCCTTTTGCTGTGGAGGAGTTTTAGCTGTTTAGGCTGTTCCATACAAACTGTGGTAAATCCTTGATCTTCAGTCTGAATTTGCATATCCACCTATAAAACAATGCTAATATTACCCAGCAGTCAAAGACACTGTGAGTCTTAAACTGTTAATCCTCCATTTGCCTCAAACTCTTCTCTATTGCCCTCTGCACACATTCCCTGTAGCAACAGGCCTGGATATGAGCCACCCAAGTATTCCAAGCGCAGTTCCACATCAGCTCCGGCCCATCTCTGATCCGTGAGCAAACACTCTTTATCTACAAGCAACCTGCTCTTTCCCAACCCCGCTGCAGCAGGAATGCAGCTCCTCTGTTTCCAGGCAGAAGCTGTCAGACCCAACCCTGTAATTCCCCAACATGCCAGTTTTTTCTGTCCTTACGATTTTATTGATCTGCTTTACAGACTATAAGGTGGTCTGTGCCTTTCATTGTTCCTATTAAACACAACTTGCTCATCTATAAATTGCACTTACAGACAATGTATTGAAGTTTACAGTGACACCCTGCATGCAACTGATTTTCCCTCTGTGTAATCCTGCTCACCCAGTGCCAAACACAGGTTTCATGAAAAGCAAAACCTATTCTTCCTACCGTAAACACGGTCAGCAGTTGATTGCTGACTACATCCTATGCTCCTCTGGAGTCAGAGGAACGCCGATCAGCTCAGTAATGTTTCTCACTGCACAGTGGACAGGAGTGTCATTCCAAACCCAGGGAACGCCGCAGCCTGAGTCCTGATGCCCATGGGGCACTGTGCTCCTCTAGCAAGGAGCCTGAGCTCCAGACAATGCAAGTGACTGGCAGCTGGGTAAATCCAGGCCAAAGAGGAACACACAGAACCAGAATGTTTTGGAAAGCATTTTTCACAGGAGAAGTGGAATAGCTGTGGTAGAGGTCAGTGACTGAGATTACACTGACATAAAGCAGGCTGTGGGCATGGTGGCCTTGAGCAAGGCTGAGCACCTTTCTCTGCATCACAGGGACCCTTTTCTGTTATCCTCATCTAGGACAGTTCAAGTTCAAAACCCTCAGCATGACCTTCAGCCATCAGAGATAACAGCTCCTGCAGCTTCAGTGGGTAAATTTAGCACAGATGTTCCTGGAAGCAGCTCCCTTGGAGGGCACCCTGGTGAGCTTACAAAGAGGGATGCTTTTGAACCTGAAAGGAATAACCCCCAACCTCCGTCTCCCTTATTGCAGCGCAGTGACTCATCACGAAGGGCTGAATTCACCACACACACACGAAGCCATCTGCTCTGTTTATTATACCCAAAGATGTGGTCCAAGAGTTATAAAATCCCAAAGAGACCAAAAGAATGTGAATGACTGCAGTCTATCTCTGCTATTCCATCTGTGCAACTGCTCCACAGCTACTCCTCTAGCAGACCTTTACAGATTAACCCCTCAGATACCAGACATGCATCAATTTATAACCCCCTACAGAAAACTAATTCTAATTTCCACAATAAGCCACAGGGAGTAAAAGGTACAGAACAACGGGGGAGAAGGGGACAGAGAAGTGACAGAAGTTTTCCGGTGTGCACTGGGGCAATAGCAGCAGCTAACCCGTCTGGGGACTCTGGTGGTGCTTCTTCTCTAACTTCTCACCATTCTCTTCACTGCAATCCCTTTTCCTCTTCAACTTTCTTTGCCTTCTCTTCCTTCCATTCTGCTTTTTCCTTTCACCTTCACTTGTTCCTCCACAAACTCTTGCTGAACTTTCTCCATCCCAAGGAGGCTTCTCAAAACAAGCAGGAGCTTGTGAATTATTAACAGTGTAGACTACAAATAGTGTAATATTTAATGACAGCCACACCACTAAGATGCATGCCCTGGTGCACACATCAGCCACCTTGATCTTAGTGTGACTGGCCTTGTTTGCTCCCTCACCTCTCATTTGTCAGGAGTGCTTTATGGAATGAGAGCTGTGAGGAGGGGGAACATAACTCACGGCCTGCAAAAGCACCACAGGCTTTTCTGGTCCTCTGGATCTCACACTTGCTGTGCTGATCTCCTCCCAGAGACCAAACCCCACAGCTAACAGGAACTGATAGCCCTGGTGAGCCCTGAGCAGGGTAACCTTGGTGGGGTGTCTGCTGCAAGCTGAGTGGGGAACAGCACAATGAGAACTTGGAGATCTGAGGGCTCACACACCGGAACGAATGGCTTTTCACTGGTGGAAGCCTTCCAGCAGGAAGCCATAGCAATGGAAATGGAGCACAGCAAACACACTGCTGAGTCTTGCGAGTAGCTAAAAGACAGGCAAACACCAGGGCTTATTTTACAAACCTCAGGTAATGTTACAAGGGGATACAAAGAGAAAACAGCACCCAAACTAATTGCTGTAAAAGCAGCACCATCCCTTATCTGGGACATGCACTAATTCCAGATGCCTTTCCTAGTGCAGTCTAATGACTGAGTCAAAAAGACTTCAGCAAAGCTGATTAAGAAACACACAATCACAAATCAGTTAAAAAAATCAAAGAAGAAAAAATAACTGAGATGAGTGTAACCAGATTCACCACAGGAGAATGTGAAAGAAGCAGATCCTGCTGCTTCAGCAGCCTGGGAAAGAGCTCCAGAACCTGGATCTTGGAGAGTATTTCCAAGGCAGGCAGACAACAAAAGTCCTTTAATTTGTGAAAGCTTCTCGCAGTGTGTAAAGTCTGGAGGCAGATGCACTGAGTGTATTAGCCTCCTCCCAGCTGAACAGTGCTGTGCAGGCTTGGCAACTGCATCTGAAAAGGAGGATCATGGAAAACACATAAATCATTCCGGAGTCATGGGGCAGCCTTGCAGGCCCCTGCAGCATGTGACTGTGCAGGGTGTGCAGCTGGTGCCACCCTTGATTCCACAGCTATGCCTCACCAGGGAGAGCAGGGAAACCATCTTGGCCCACTTACATGGCCAGAGTGCTGAGCAAGGGAAGCGTGGGTTCTTTATATCCTCTTTGACTGAATCTTACCAACCAGAAGGGTTGGGTTGGTGGCTTGCAGCAGATCCCAGCTTTCCACCTCTCCTCTGTGCTTCAGGCGCAAGAGCCCTTCCAGCCAGGCATGAATACAGAAGTGTCTCCAGCACAGCCTGTGGCACCAAACACCTTCTAATAAACTTGCAAGCACCTGGGAATTCACATCTCACAATTGGTGCCCATAACACACAAAATGTGGGCTGGGAAGTTCAAGGATTGGCATTAGGACTCCAGTGCTGTAAAGGCTGAACAGTGTAACTGCTGGAAACCCTCGTTCTCTGAAGGCGTACTACATTAGGTTAAAATATACTCCTCTGTTACACAAGACCAGATTAATGAATCGTCCCTTCTGGCCCTCAAATCTATTACGTTAATGAGCAGAAAGCACACGGAGGAACAGTACTTACAGAAACACAGGGACTGAAAGGCATAATAAATTGCCAAATACTTTGCCTAAAAACTAAACCAAACTAGCAAGAAGTGCTAACACTCCCCCAGAGCTGCGTAACCCAGCTGCTATCTCCCCCTGGCTACACCAGCCCCAAGGTAAGCAAACAGAATCCAGCCTCATCCTGGCTGTGTGTGAGGCTCAGACCCTCAGGAGGAATCTTACAACGTGACTCATCTCAGCTCTGGCCTCGCTCAAACATGCACAAGTTATGAGTAACTGCAGAGCAGCATTTCACAATGTTCACTGGCCACAAATCTGCCTTGTTATAAGAAGCTGTTGAGGGATAAAGTGAAGATAGGGCTCTTCCATCTGCAGGCAGCAGAGGATTAATAGAGCAGGATCTTGCTGCTAAAAAGCAGTGTCAGATTAGTGCTGTGATGTGCTACCAGGTTTATACAAACCAGCGTTAATCCGTGCTGGCGTTTAGGCCACCAGAAGTATTCAAAACTTCTTCCCTCTCCTATCTTTGACATCATCTCGCTCCAGGATTGAAGTCTGCTCTGCTGGCCTTGCTTACATAAGGGTGACTTCTGGGTGTTGCAGCAGCTGAAGAGCCAACCCATGCAGCTATTCCAGTGCCTCTGCCAGCTTGGCCAAGGCTTTGGAATGAAATCACTGTTATTCCCTGCAGTTAATTATCTGGCTCTGTGCTTTCCTGAAGTCCAGAAGGAGCAAGGAAGAGTCACCTAGTCTAGAGGAGGGGAGGACTTAGATAGGCAAAAGGATGCAGAAAGAGGAAAAGGAAGGCGATGAGGGAATACACCGATGTTAATACAAACTCACACAGAGAAGGACATGGCCTTGGGGTTTCTTTCTCCAAGTTGTCATGGACAACTCCATTACGTTAACAGTAAATTCAACGCTTTATCACAAACCAGACCTTGCTGGATTTAGCCGCTGAATTACACATATTAAGAAATCAACACTGAAGAGTGGGAAACTCCCAAGAGTTTTCCAGCCGCTGCTCAGGGAGGATGCGTTCAGGGAGGATGCGCTCAGGGAGGATGCACTCAGGGAGGATGCGCTCAGGGGTGCACTTCACGGTGCTAAACACATTCCACAGGACGGTCACACAAGCTTTTGTATATCTCTTGGTTTACGTGTTGCTTGGTAGCCCCATGGTCAAACAGCCACCGAGGGTGTCACAACCCGGCGCAAAGATAATGGAGACAACCTCTATCTAACTCGCTGCGGCAGAATGTCACCTGCTGCTGGCGGGGCACTTAAGCAGCACACGACGTGCCGTCAGCAGTGCACGCACCGCACCCCACGGGTACCCCTGCACTAAAGCACCCAGAAAACCCCGATTCCGGTCAGTTTTGGAGGGGTCCCCGCGGTTCTGCCCCGCTGCGGGCCGGGGCCGGTGGGAGGAGCCAGCGAGGGCGCTGCCACCGCCCGCCCCGCCCCGCCCCGCGCTTCACCCTGCGCCGCCGCCGCCATTTTGTCCCAGTGCCCGCGTCCCGGTGAGCACGGTCGGTGTCGCTCCGTTGCAGGTCCCGAGGCGAGCGCAGGGCGGCCCCGTAGATGGCCAGCTTTCCCCCGAGGGTTAACGAGAAGCTCATCGGTGAGGCGCGGATGGGGCGGGCGCGGCGGGGCGGGCTCAGCGGGAGCGGGGCCGGTTCGCGCCCGGCCCTGCGGGGTGGCGGCGGTGCTGCCGGCAGAGCGGTGCCGTACGCGCCCGGGCGGCGGCGGGGGTTGCACAGCCCCGGTAGCGAGCCACATGCGTTATTCGGAGCTTCCTTGGGCAGAAGGGGCGGGCACAGGCTCGTTAAACGGCGCTGAGGTGACATCGGACCCTTCCCAGGCGCTGGCCCTTTCTTCCCCAACGGAAGCGCAGGGCGGCGGCGGGGCCTCGGTGTGTTTGAGTTGTGCCTCTGATAGCGAGATGAGCCATCGCTTACACGATGATCAGGACGTTTTAACGCTGAGCTGCTTCTCTGCAGTGACTCAGTCCCTTTGGCAGCTGAGCTTTTTGTGAAACACCTTCGCAGTGACATGAAATTAACATGCACTAACAGTCATACCCTTATCCCATTGTCAGGTTCCCTTACAACCTTGGGAGCTCTGTGGTCGGGTTTTAAAGCAGGAATCTCTTGTGTTCTTTCAGCACGATCACGCACGGTGGGAGAACTCCTGGCCCCAACTTCTCCCTTTGACAAGAAGTGTGGACGTGAAAACTGGACCGTGGCGTTTGCTCCGGATGGATCCTACTTTGCTTGGTCACAAGGGCACCGCGTGGTGAAGCTGGTCCCCTGGTCTCAGTGCCTTAGGAACTTGTAAGACAAAACTACCTGGCTTTTCATTCAACCAAGAAGCTTAACAGCTGTCTTCTGTTGGGAAGTTCTCAACAGATTTAAACACATATAGTGGCTTTTCAGGCTTGGGGAAAGGAACAGCTATTGGTTTATTTTTTTCTTCTGGGGCCAGTGAGAGAAACTGCAGCCTCCCAGAGGGTGTGCAGGAGGGACTTGGTGTTTGATTCAGATGCTCTTAAATAAGAGGAAGTTACAGTGAAAAGGGATGGAAAGACTCAGGAAGAGCTGGACTTTTAAATTTCCTATCAGAAAGCTATTTAGTTTTTAGGAATTCACTTGAAGGCAAACCCTTTCCTCATCATTCTCATTGGAATGCAAGGAAGGTCCGAAAGACACATTGTATTTTCACTTTAATGAGGTCAGGAACCAGCACTTGCATTTTCTGTAGCTGGTTACATTCCCCTCACAGCAAATGCCGCCTCCCCTTTCTTTCTTCCCTCTACTGGTGAGGGTTTATTTGGTTTCCATGATCTGGTCACAGTATCCCTTATTGTGGAAGTGATTTGCGGGGAACTTCCCGCTCATTTAGCCCAAAGCCTGGAATTTTTGTAACTATTGTTTCTGTAAACGCTTTAAAAATACTGTTTTCACAGTGGGTTAGTTCATGCATTGTTTCCTGCAGAGGTAAACCGGGATAAAGAAGTATTAGTATTATACTGTATAAGAAAGCTTCCAGGCGTTAGTTATAAGACAGTTACAATAAAAAGCTGCTTTTATAATTTGACATTAAACCCACACCATTATAGATCTCCAAAACATACATTACAGCAACTCCTAGATTTCAGCACATCCTAAAGACCTCTCTGTTCTATTTCCTTCTCAAGATACTTCATGCCATTGCTGTTTTTCTTTTGTGCTTGCTCTGCAGCTTGGTGCACGGCACAAAGAATGCTGCCAACTCTCTCGGCACAAGACTTCCAAGGCAGAACAGTGACAGTGCTCAGAAAAACAAACCCTGTGAGCATATCATAGACTGTGGAGACATCGTGTGGAGCCTGGCGTTTGGCTCCTCGGTGCCGGAGAAGCAGAGCCGCTGCGTGAACATCGAATGGCACCGCTTCAAGTTCGGACAGGACCAGCTCCTCCTGGCCACGGGCTTGAACAACGGGCGCATCAAGATATGGGATGTATACACAGGTAGAGTGGGAGAGAGGAACTGTTACCAGTGCACAAAGTGACAGTGAAGTGCCATTGTTCACACACAGAATGAATTGGGAATTGAATCTTGAATACAAATTAATCTAAAAAAAGCATAAACTCCTCCAACTAGAAATGTTCAAAGACTGCTGGAGGAAGGAACAGGTTCAGGTCATGCTTCAAGATGTGAGTGACATAAGAGGAAGCTTCATTGCTGCAAAATGGTTATGTGTGTGATTGACTTTGTGAATGGTAGTTTACACTAAAATCTTCCCTGGATTTTAGTGGTAATATACTTTCAAACAAAGGAAACTTCAAAAAGCTGAAGTTGCTCTCTGTTCTTGAGTATAGGGAGGGATTATGTTGATGAGAACCTTTTAAAAGTATGTAACTGTTTAAATAAGAGACTGCATTTGAGATGAGGGAGTCTCAAGTAGCTGGTGGCACAGCTGCTAGGCCAGGAGAGAACTTCTCAGCTTTAGAGAAATGAAACTAAAGACTGTTGAGTAATTTACATTGTCTTGTAAATTTAAGCTGAGAACAGAGATGCATATCAAAAGACAAGACTTGCCTTATTTCTTAGGCATGTGGGCTTAGTGTAGAGATTTACTAGCTTTCTGTATCAAGAGGCAATTTCCTGAAGAGTCTGAAAGTGCTTCCTGCCGAGGCAGCATTTCTACATTGGCTTTATTTGCTCTAATTTTGTATCCATAAAGCATTGATCTGAATGAAAAAGCTGTCCTTCATTTGGAATTGTGGTGTTTTAACAGGAAAACTCCTCCTTAACCTGATGGACCATACAGAAGTTGTTCGAGATTTAACCTTTGCCCCAGACGGGAGCCTGATTTTAGTGTCTGCATCCAGAGACAAAACACTGCGAGTGTGGGATCTGAAAGATGATGGTAGGAATTCAGTTTATCTGCTGCCATATGTGGGAGAAATAACCACATACTCTATATTGCTATAAATGAAGTTAGGTAAAAAAAAAAAAAAAAAATCAATCACCCTGTGTGTTCTGTTGGAATTCTTTGTGTGTCTCCTAAAGGTATAAACTGGTATCACATTAAGTTAAGAGTGTGCAAAGTGACTTCTTTTAACAGGGACTTGGGATTTAAAGGCTGCATGACAGAATTTTTATTTCTCTGTAAAATGCCTCTGCAAGATGTGTGATATTTAACCAATTCTTATGGGAATACCTGTCTTTTTAGGAAACATGATGAAAGTGTTGAGAGGACATCAGAACTGGGTATACGGTTGTGCATTCTCTCCAGACTCTTCCATCCTCTGTTCAGTTGGAGCTAGTAAAGCAGTATGTGTCAGAGTTCCTTGTTCATTAAATCTACTGAATTGAGTGCATAATCATTTTAAATCTAAGTAACATCAAGCTTGTGCTCGGTGTCATGAACTTCTAATGTTTTATGATGATGTAAAAGTGCATGAAATTAAACAAGCAAATGGTGCATCAAGACACTGATTTAAGAATTGAACTTGCACTGCTTTTAGCTGCAGAAACTGTAAAAGTTCTTTGAGAAATAGTTCTGCACATGTTCATAGTATAAAACCAAAGACTAAACCTTCCAGTGTTAAAAGATGCTTAGATTAATGCATAGAACTATTTTGTTATTGATGTTATCCTTTCTACCTCCTACTCAATGAAAGGGGATTTTCAAAGGCTGAGCCAGGCATTGTGTCACCCATTGAACAAAAATGTTTCTACCTGTTTTTCAATACAAATGGTCCTTATGTCTAAAGACTAGAATGAAGAGCAGCATACTGTTTTTGTTTTCACCCCTATTCTAATGCCCTGCTAGAGAACTGAAAGCAGTGCAGGTAAAGCATGTATGCCATACGCTGCTTTTCTTGGCACTGAAGAATTAGGATAAAACAGAGAGGGTAATTCAGTCTAGTGGCAGGGGCATTGTAGGTAGTTTAATGAAGCCTAGTGATGCTGAATAAAAAGCACAATTTAATCCTTAGATACTACTTTATATGAGTGACTGTTCAAATGCTTTTTATGCTTTAAATTCAGTGCAGACTTGGTAGAGAATAGTTGAGGTCTGGGGTCTGGTTTTTCTTTAACTAGAGCAGATATGGATGTATACGTTGCTGTCTTTAGGCTGTGTGTTTTCCATAAGCTTCTTGCTTTCCCTGTCACAGGTGGTGGCAGCAATATTGGTGTGATTGAGGTTAAGCTGGCACCACTCACACAGGAGCACAATGGTGTTAGCTGGGCAGAGAGTGGCATCTCTGGCTACCAGGCTGGGTGCGAACTTTACCGTAGGACGAAGTAACCTTGCCTTCGGCTGCAAGGTGTCCTGTACGTACGCAGGTGCTGGTTGATGTCCACCTTCTGCTTTCTTTCTTTCTTTTTTTTTTTTTTTTGTTTTTTAATAATTTTCACAGCAATGAAACCCCCTGACTCCTCAAACTTAGCTTCCACTTGTATGGAATGTTGGGGTCTCCTTGGAGAAATTGGTCAACATGTTTATAACAGACCATAAATGGGTCGGTTTGAGGAAGTACATGAG